AAAGCCGAGCTGAACACGCAGGTCGAGCTGAACACGCAGGTCGACGACCAAGAGAAGCCGCCCGATGATCTCGAAGCTCTCCTGACGTTGGAGGTGGAAAAACAGGAGGTGCTGAGTCGAGCTGTGGCAGCAGAAGGGCGTGCCCAAATGCTCGAGGAGATGATTGCAAAGCTTTTGGGTGGGGATGCTGCTGCTCTGCCGACCGCAGAGCAGGTGCAATCCATGCTGCGACGACCGCCGACTTACGAGATCGACACGACAGCAGCTGCCGCGAGTCAGGGACGCCTGAAGAGGACTTGCACGGACCTTGTGCCTCGCGAAGAGGTGCTCAAAACCCCCACCAAGTCTGCAGAGACCGAGAAGCCAGAGTGTGCCGACAAGAACACAGGCGCCAACAAACAGCAGGAGATCCATGAGCCAGACTGTGCCGACAGCAAGAACACAGGCCCCAACAAGCAGCAAGAGACCCATCAGCCAGACTGTGCCGGCAGCAAGAACACAGGCCCCGACAAGCAGCAAGAGACCCATCAGCCAGAGTGTGCCGACAGCAAGAACACAGGCCCCGACGAGCAGCAAGAGAAGGACACACAAGCCAAGCAAAACCATGCCGACACCGTGAAGACAGAGGCGGAAGTGCCGGAGCCAGAATCAATCCCAGGAGTGAAGCATGCTGAGGCCCCAAACACAGGCACCACAAAGCAGCCGGAGAGCGACAAACCCCAGCCTCAGCCTGAGACCTCAGCCACAGCGACAGGAGCCGACAAGCACCAAGCAGCGAATCTTCAGAACGTGAAAACCGAGCCCTCAGATGAGCCAGCAGGCCCAAAGCAGGTTTCTGAAGAGGAGCGTCTCCAAAAGGAGGCACACGCCAGCTACATGAGGTACTACCGATCCATTCGCAAACTGGCTTGTGTTAGCATGTTCAGGGTGAGACTGAAATAATTCACCTTTGGTTTCTGGGGGCACGAAACCAATTGGCATCCGAGGTTCCCCGGCCTGCCCCGAGGAAGTGCGCAAGAAGCTGTTCGACGCCCGCGGGAAGTCTCGTGCCTTGGATAAACACACTTGGCCTAGTTAACACGTGTTGGCTGAAGCTTTGTCGCTTGTGGCTTGTTGCTTGCCATGTCCAAGGTTCAGGAGTTTGGGCTGTTTAGGGCTAAATAGTTATGGCTCTAGGGTCCGGGGGTTTAGGGTTTATGGGCTGGAATACTTCGAGGCTTCGGGTTTAGGGATTTGGAGTTTATGGGGCGAGGTCCCCCAAGTGTGTTCTAGGGGTTTTTGGCTTTCGGGTTTATTCGGGTAGATATGTTTCGTTCGCACACGTGATCTTTTGAGCTTCTGATTCGGGGTCTCAGGCTGTCGGGGTTTAGTAGGTGAAGCGAGGGATCGGATGTTCGGAGTGGGAAGCTCTTTGGGCTTGTAGGGGTTTGAGGAAACTGAGGCTTGTGGGCTTATAGGGTTTCCGAGGTCCAGGATGCTATTATTTTCAAACAGAGACACTGCAGCTCTTGCTGCTGTTCCTTGTGCTACAGACTAGACTAATAATATAGAGCCATCCAGAGCTCTAGCTAACCCACTATAGAATAAGAACTGAACCCCATAAACCCAAAACCCTGAACGCCTACCCACCAAGCCCCAGTAAACCCCAAACGCCTGATCCTAAACACGAAACCCGTATCCCTTTATTCCCATAAATTAAACCTTAACGTGCACAGCATAAGACTTTGTATCCGGATCCCAGGCGGTCCACGCGTGATGAAGCACTATTACGAGGTGTTTTTGTCGTCCAGCGAGGATTGGATGCAAAGTTCAATCATGCTCAACCTGAGCCACAAGAAGCGTGGCAAAAGGTCTGGCAAATACGTGTGGAAAAGACTGTGCGACTTGATCGCTGCGTCCCTTGTTTGCACCTTCTGACCCCGCCCAAGTGCACAAATCGTTCAGTGATTGTGTGGACACAGTGAACACACGAAAGCCCAAGTTTCAACCAAAAGCAAGCTTCAAACCCTGAAAAGACCCCTAAAACCCAAAACGCTGAAACCCCAAACCCTAAAACCCCAAACCCTAAAACCCCAAACCCACAACTCTAAACCCCAAAACCAAAAACCCAAACCCTTAAACCCCAAAACCCGAAACCCTAAAACCCTAAAACCCAAAACCCTAAAACTGTTCGGAGTCAAAGCCAGGCCCCAGTGTAGCCACCGCGATTTCCCAGGCACGGAGAAGCCGTGGCGGCTGACCTCGCGGCAAACAAGAAGAAGATGGATGTGAATGGGGGTGTGTGGTGGAAACCCCACCCGGATCGGCCCTCGGCCGAGGAGAGATCTTGATATAATCCAGCACAAGTCAGCGTTTCAATGGTTTTCATGAGCCGGGAGCCTCTAATCTAAAGCCATATGCAGCTGCACCACTTCACTAACCTAGAACAGAAAACCTCGCTGCCGAATATAAGCCCATGCATTTTCTAACCCCAAAATCCAGTAGACCTGAGCGACACGCCAGGACTGGCAGCTGTTTAAGGTCTTCGACTCCAAGGAAGAGGTATCCGAGAGTGAGAGTGAGGAAGCGTACGATTTCCGCACGGCTGTGGACTTGGACGGGGAGGGCACAAGGGAGGTGCTGCTACTTGTCCGAAGGAATGAAACATCTAACACGACAGCTCAAACTTCAAATTGACCCGAGAACCTAGACGCCTTGAAGTTACGAAACCCTAAACCTAAACCCTGAAATCTAAACCTTAACCCAAGGCTAAGCAGACCCTAACCCTGATCCGTAGATACAACTTCCGGGTTAATGGGGTCACTGAAACAGATCTAGATGCTTTGTAGATTCGGATATGTACAAACCCATTAAGGTCGCAGATGACTGGTGCGAGCTCGTCTTCGGGATTGAACAACCGCAATGGTGGGGAAGGCTTGCCCGATCCGGCCCCCAAGATCCCGAAGCCCAAGAAAGCGCAGACCACTGCGAAAGCAGCTGACCAGCTCTTTAAGAAAGTGACCCTCAAGATCAGTGAGTCGGAAGACCTCGAGAAGAGCTGGCGCAAGGGCGGCATGCACCTTGGATTCGGGATTCGTAGGAGTCAGACGATACCCGTAGCCTCCCTAAACCCTAGACCCTAAACCCTAAACTCTAAACCCTGGCCCCTTTCGATTCCCTTTATGTGTAAATGTTTGTCCTCATGAATTACAAAGGGCAGGCGGGTTATAGATTCAGGTCCAAGGATTTGCAATGCTGTTGTTGCAAAAAACACTGAGGGGCCAAGCCATGCTTGAGGCTGCGATGAAGAATTTGCAGCCCTACATCAATGCCATGATTATCGAGAAGAAAAACCTGAAGGTTGCCATGGATGCAGACGGCATCCCCGACGAGCAGCTGGCGATTGTGGTTGACAACATGACGAAAATCGTGGCGAACTACGAAGATCAAGTGAAACTTGCCAAACGTTCGCTGCCCAAAGCACCCTCAAAAAAGGCCCCCAAGGCCAAAGCGAAGGCTCAGGCAGGAAGCTGAATCCGAATGGATGATCAGTGGGGCACAGATTTTGCTTTGCTGTGCGATGTCTGAAAGACAGACATGCTTTTTGGATTCCGTAGGTCTGTGTTTGCTTGCAGGAAACAGATTCCAATGGAGAGGGATCGCCAGAAATAAGCTTTAGGCCCTTATGTCATAAACCCTAGAGACTAAGCCCTACGCAGCACCCCCATACTTGGCGACGATCCCGATGTTGGCTTCTGTGGCATAGGCAGCATCGCAGCTAGAGTAGGCTAGGTCGTCGGAGTGTCTTCAAGAAACAAAGGCCAGGAGGGAACCCCACGAGGCGCAAAGTGTTTTATGGCTTTCAAAGTCGAACCCTCAAACAACTCGCTTGGGCTTCAAGAGGTTTCTCGTCTGGCTTCTGTTGCCTCTGAAGTAGGGTAGGTCCGCTGTGCAGTGTTTGCAGGAAAGAAAGGCCAGTAGTACAGGGAGCCTCCACTCTCGAAGCCCCGAAGCTTGCACCCTGGAACCCCGAAACTTTAGGCCTCAATCCCGAACCTAGGCTGCGCACACCCGAATCCTAAACACTACAAGCCGTCGCCTCAAACTCCTAAAACCTTGGTAACCTAAGAAACCCTAGACTTCAGGCCTGCCCTGTGACACTTAATAGGCTGGTTCGTGTTGTGATTCAGTTCTTTTCAAGGAGGCTTCGTGCTCTGGCTTCTCTGGCTTAGGCAACCTCACAGCTCGTTAAGCTAGTCGACCGGGGCTTCTTGACAAAATGCTGGCATCGAGCTGCAAAGATCTACTAATCGACTATACTTACAGACACCACAGAAACCTTACGCTTCAACCCACGCAGGTTGTCCTGGGATCGTTCGAAGCCGACTGCTGGCTGGCGTGGGAAGAGGAGTGTCTTGAACGAACCCAGTGTCCCGACCCACACTCTAGATGCCACACCGCCTAAAACCCCGAAAGTAGACCCCCTTCTCCCCGGAAGCCGAAGCTCACAAAAAGAAACCTTTTGGGATGCAGGGGCTTTAGGGTCTGAGTCTAGGGGTACGAATCGATATATGTTCGGGTCTTGAGATTTACGGTCCTGGTGCTCTAGCAAATGTGTGCTTGTAGCGAGAGTGTGCTCGGGGTCTGTGTTTCCTAGTTAGTTCAATTCGACGAGGAATGGAGTAGTGCAGCTGCGCAAGATCTGGCTGATGCTATAAGTATCGCCGCTGAACAGCATTTAAATTGGTTTTGTGCAAGAACCAAGTTTGGCGCACCTTCCTTGAAGCCCATCTTCAGGAGTTTGGCTCATCGACGACACAGAGTATCGAGCAGCTGGCTAAGTGTGGCGCCCGGGGTGCCCAACTAGGAAACGTATGGCGCGACTTACGTGCCCAAGAGGCCGCTAGAGACGAGACCAGGTGGCAAGTACATCTAGGTGCAATTGCCCAGGCCATTCTTTAGCTGTAGCTACAGGATGGTCATGACACCTGTCGGGATCTTGCTTTTATAGTGTAGCTGAGGATGGGCCCCCAGTGGACAAGCTTCGGCTACCGGTCAAAGCTAGAGTTGGGAAGACTTCCGAACAGAAACTAGAGATGGACCTGCCCGTGGTGCCCCCACATCTTCTGGCTGCCTGGCTGCTGGAGACAGGGCGAATCAGCCTCAACGCAGACAGCGCGCGCAGGTTTTGGACGCAGCACCGCGAGCGGCAGACGCCTTGGATGGAGGGGCAGGATTTTGTGTTCGAGCAGTGCCAGCCGTTTGCGATTTATGGAGATGAGGCTGAATACACAGTCTCCAAGGAGAAGATTTTGGTCATATTCGGAAGATACTTGGGTGTCTAATTTTAAAAAATAGGTTAATTTGTGTTCTGGTTTTTTCCTCTAGCCCCGACTTAAACGCCCTAAAACCCTAAATTTAGGTTTTATCAGGTTTTCCATTGCACGACCACAGCCCAGACGAGTACAAGCCGAAGGTGCTCGCATCCAGATTCCCTATATTCTGCATAAGATCAGAGCGGCTTTTGCCCGAATCTTTAGATAGTCTTTGGAGATACCTGGCTTGGAGCTCGAACATCATGCTGATAGGAAAGTACCCTACAAGTGGCTTTGCGGGAGCCCCGCCCCCAAAGCCAGTTGGCAATGGCAAACCTGGAGATGCTATGTACGGCGGCAAAGTTTTCAAACTCTGCGAGCTTCGAGGTGACTGGAAGCACCACGTTGTCTGTTTCAAACTTCAAAGCTACTACAGCTGCCGAAATATATGCCACTGCTGCAAAGCTTCCCGAGTAGATCCTGCTCTGCCGTTTACGGACTTTACACAGAACCCCGCGTGGAAAGCGACTCTCCGCACGCATCGCCAGTTTCTACTTGAGGAGCTCGGCGAGCCCTACAATGGCCTCATCTTTGTGAAAGGATTTCACTATACCATGTTGCGATTCGATTCCATGCACACCATCAATCTTGGAACTGGTCTTTTCGCTAATGGTGGGGCCTTCTTTCAACTCTTTAAGCTGAACTGGTTCCCGGGTCAGGACAAAGCTGCACAATGGCGTGCCGCTTTTGCATCTTTCAAGAAATTCTTGAAGACGCACAAGATACGATGTTCCCAGCCACAATTCAAGGCATGGATGCTTGTTCTACGAGGTGAAGACTACTGCTACTTTGCTTCCAAGGCCTTCAGATAGAGGACTCTGAGAGGCTGACGTAATCTCAATTTAAGTCTTAGCTGTCTTCTTAGCTTTTCCGGGGTTCGGGCCTGAGGTGGGCTTCAGGGCTGAAGGGGTACTTCGGGTTTACTGCTTTTGCTTCGTCGTCGTCGTCGTCGTTTTTCGCCGTTGCCGTTGTGTCGCTGTCGCTGTCGTTGTTGTCAGTCGCAGGCCTACAACTCCAGAGTGCTGACGAGCTGGTTAGCTGCCGAGCTCAGTGACGCACTGAAGATCCATCCTGGTGAAGGACTGGCGCTGACGGCTGCTTGTCTTTATCACCTACACTCCTGGTACTGTCAGCTGGAGCAGTGTGGCCGCTACCTGCGGCCGGGGGAGCCTTGTATTCTGTTTTGGCATTCACATTTTGTTCCGGAATTCTGGAAGCTTTCAGAGCTCAAGAATTCGTTTTGGAAAGTGCGATAGCAATTCAGATCAAGGAGGCCGAGTCGCTCCAACACGCCGGTCTGGCTTTTCTGCAGTGCTACTTGCAGCTGGCACGGCGCGCTGTGGCCGCCAGGGAGATGCCCGGCTCATTTTGGTGAGGGCATGCTACTCTGCTATTCCGTATATTATTAATAATCCTCGGGAATAATCCTCGCTAAGAACCCTGATTACAGACCCCAGACCGCCCAAGACACCCGAACCCAAATCCTGAAACAAGGTTCGCGTGGCAGCTGAGACCCAAACATCACATAATGATGCACATCATCTTTGATATGGTTGCCTCTGGCATCAACTGCCGTTACTGTCATTGCTTCCGAGATGAAGCAGCGATGGGGATTGCAAAACGTATCTCGGAATGCTTTCGACAAGTACCTTTCTTGATCCCCCTGAATTATTAGACCGGTCTAATTACCATCCAACCGAACCTCAATCGAATTCTGCTAGTCCCTCTCTATCAGGAATTGCTCGAGCTGGCGATGCGTTGACGCTCGAGCAGACTTTCATGCAGAAGTGGTACATGCTGCTGATTTCTGAAGATGCTGTTCGTCGGATGAAACGCAAACGAATCTGGCGGCACGGTCAGTGTCGAGCGAGAAAGAATGTTTCTTGATCGGGCCTTGTTGCCTCGAACTTCCGAACGGGTTTGCTCTGAACAGGTTTGGACCCCGCAGTTTCAAGTTGCAAAGCCATATTTAATTGGAGCCTTCGGGTCTAGAGGTTTAAGTTCTCGGTGAGGGTTCCGGGTCTACTAGGGCACAGTTCGGACCGAGCTTCAAGGATTCAATTGTAGATGGCAGGTGCAAAGCACTTCGCTTCGATCGTGCGATCTACCAGGATGTTTCGCGAAATCAATTCGAGAGCCAAAACGCAACTATCCAAATCCCAACCTTCCAAAGCCCATCCCGGCATTGCTCAAGAAGCCACTCAGTCTTCTTAAAACTCCAAACCTGGAAGCCGCAGCCCGGCAGCCGACCCAAACTTTCACTTCCAACAATTTAGTGCGCCAGCCTATAGAATATTAGATTCGGTAACCTGACGAAACTGAAACCATCTATCCCAACCTGAAGTCTTGAATCTCCTAGCCTAAACCACCCAAACCAGATACGCCTAAATCCTCAAACCGAAGCAACCTGCCCAGATCTTCTGCCCTACCTCCAAGCCTCAAGCCCCAGGAACTGCGAAAGCCTCGAAACACCGTTCGATCTTGACAACAGGAACCACTGACGTCTAGCCATAAGACCCCACCTACGCCCCTAAAGAGCCCAACCCGAACCGTGGCCCGAAACCTTAAAACCCAAACCCTAAATCCACGACGAGCCCTTACATACCAAACGACAAGACCCCAACCGAACAGTGACACCTTAAACTACTGAAGAGGCCAACCCGAACCACAGCCCTGAAACCCTAAAAAGCCCTACCCCTAAACCCGCGAGAAAGGAGAGATATTTGGGCTCAATTTAAAGGTTCGGCTCAAATATACAGGGTTGGCGCAAACCCAAAAAAAAATAACAGACCGCGCAGGGGAACTCTGAGTATCTGTTCCTCAGCGCGCTAAGCTGAATGCAATCGTGGTATAAGTATGCCTGCTTTTGCATTCATTTGTGCAAGTGCGCCTGTGGTATAGGCCAAAAATGTGAGCGGAGGGAGGATATTCATATTTTGGCTCAAAGTCACGGGTTCAAACATATGTAAATGTATATGTAGATTTGTCTGTGTATGTATATTACTGTATGTATGTATATATGTATGTATGTATGTATGTATGTATGTATCCAGAAAGTACCAAGACCAGGATATCTATCCAGAAAGTACCAAGACCAGGAATTTACTGGACTTTGGAAAGTATACAAATGATGTATACTCGGATGGGCAGGGTAAGCTCTTTGTGCATATTTGCCTCAGCTTGCGCGAAGCGACGGTAATCCATAGCGGACCGACGATAAATGCAAACCAAGACGTCGCACTTGACAGAATAGGACATGTTTCGAAGC